GAAAGGCTGGAATATTATAATGAGCTAGAGCTAATGACGTCAGAAACTACCCACTCCTGAAACCTCCTGATTTATCTCCTGGATTCAGACTGAGGCGGCCCACAAAAACATGACCGAGTCATTTTTTTTCCACACTTTGCCTGCTGATAGGCCCTCCACAGTCCCAAATGTACATAATCAGATGGTTAAAAACTTGGTTTTGCATAATATGTCCCCTTTAAGCCAAATGAGGCAGGAAGGAAAAGGTCAACCGGAGCTTCCAGATCAGAGTCTGAGAAAGTCTCCGGGAGGATTGATGGAAGAGGCTGAAAGGGAAGAAGAAGAGATGCTGAGGAGCCGTTTCTGAGGGAAAAGTGAAAAGGGAAGCCGAGGAAAAGCTGGAGTCAGGAGATCCAGAGACTGATCACAGAAAAGTTTAACCCAGAACAGGTCTGAGGAGCAAGTGGAAACTCTGAGGGGCTAAATAACCAGAGAAACTATCAGAAACGAGAGAAAAACAACCAGAGGAAGAATGGAGGCTGCTATCAAGAGCAGAGAGAAGAAGTTTTGAGAAAAAAAGGAGGGAAAATAACCAGAAGAAGAAAAAAAAGGATGTTAGAGATGAAGTTGAAGCTGCTTCTGAGAAGAAAAAGGATAGAAAAACAACCAGAAGAAGAAAAAAAAGCTGCTATCAAGAGTGGAGAGATGAAGTTTAAGCTGATTCCTAGGAGAAAATGGAGGGGAAAACAACCAGAGGAAAAACAAAAAGTCATTTTTTTTCAAACTTCACCTGCTGATAGGCCCTCCACAGTCCCAAATGTACATAATCAAATGATTAAAAACTTGGTTCTGCATAATATGTCCCCTTCAATGGTCGGATTAGAGTCCCATATTTGGGTTCCTCGCCAACCAGATGATGAGATGTTTCCTCCCAGCTGTTCAGAAACTTTGATATTAGGAAACTTTGATGGCAGTTTATGATAAAGATGAAGTTAAAGGACCATCTGGCCACTGATTTTAGACTAAATGTAGCAAACGGATGTGTTAAAATGGCTCTAATTTGTGGAATAAAAGCCACCGTAGACGGATACCTGATAGTGTTTCATGTCTTATTCTGAGTTTGTGAGGCCTCCAGACACTAACCTAGGCCCTCCACGGTCCCAAATGTACACAATCAAATGATTAAAAACGTGTTTTTTTGCTTAATATCTCCCCTTTAACCAGGACGTGATGGTGGGGGCGGAGGCCAGCGCGTGCCGCTCCCTGCTGGAGGTGTCGTACCCGATGGAGAACGGCATGGTGCGCTGCTGGGAGGACATGCTGCACCTGTGGGACCACACCTTCGGCCCCGACCGCCTGCACATCAGCCCGCCAGAGAGCAAGGTGAGGCACATAAACATGGACATGTTTCTGCATTTAGACAAGGTGATGGACATAAACATGGACATGTTTATGTTTCTGCATTTAGACGATTTTGTTCAAAGCGACTTACAAAGTAGACGCAAAGCTGTTTTTTGGTGCTTTTAAAGCTGTTTTTCTAGGGCTTTAAAACTGTACTGACGACTTTAAAGCATTTTTGAGGTGCAAGGTGATGCACATGGACATGTTTATGTTTCTGCATTTAGACAAGGTGATGGACATA